TTATTCATCGTCTGGTGTCGTTTAAAGACATTTGAACAGTTTGCACTGAAACTCTCATTTGGACCTTGAACCGTTTGGTTCCCATTGAAGTCCATTATATGGAGAAAATCCTGGAATGTTTTCATCAAAAACCTTAATTTCTTTTCGACTGAGGAAAGAAAGACATGGACATCTTGGATGACATGGGGGCGAGTAAATTATCAGCAAAAGTTTTGAAAAGTGAACTACTCCTTTAAATAAAACTAAATGTGCCCAACTATAAAACATGCAAACTCATAGAGTAACAGAAGAATAACACGCGTTTACCCTGAATCTGTCCGTCCGGCGACGGCTCCTTTGTGACGTAGCAGATATAAAACTCTGCTGCTTTGTGCATGTACTTATACAGCAGACTGACGGGGAGACACATCTCTGGATTATTCAGAATCAGCGGCAGGACGTCACACACTGAGAACCAGAACAACACAATATTGCTCAAGGAAAATAAGCACAAAAACACACTAATAAAATAATGACGAGATGCTCAATTTGTACCAAACAACTTCCTGAAGCAGTTGACGGGCGTGTCCAGATCCTCCACAGTCTCCGCCTCTAACAGGGACTCTCCCAAGCTCACCTGGAAGAGAGGTCAAGGGTCAGAGTACGGCTGTCACACCGTGTCCAAACTAGATCCCGACCGATAAAGGATTTTGAAGGCCGATACCGATACAAATATTTGTTGGTATTAAAATGCGATATTCCAATATATCGGCCGATAGTTTTTTTTTGTTTTTTTTCAGATACGATCAACAAAATATTAACAGATTTCCCTAACATTAGTTATTTATCAGCTTTTACTAAAATAATATGATAATGCATTTTAACAGTACAGACTTATGATAGTGGCATTAGCTAGCTTTGTGTCCGTTTTTATTTTATTTTTGAAATATTCATTTATCGGCCATTATAACTGCCGATACCGATAGTTTGGAAAATGTCTAATATCGGCCGATAATATCGGTCTGGCTCTAGTCCAAACCAAGCGGCAACCTTCACAAAGTGCAAAACAGGAATGAAAAAAGAAAACGCGAATATCGCTGCGGTTGGCTTGTCAGTATCGCAGTATCGCACGGTTATCGCGACAGCTTTAGGTCAGAGGTCATGCAGGGTTTGTATTAGGTTGGAAAAATAATTATTTCTCAAACGTTTATGAATCGACCCACAAAAGAATTATTAGTTTGTGCGTTTAACATGTTTTAAACGTATGCGTGAGAACCTTCAAAGCTAGCTTGTGTATATTGCACGTTTTATACAACGGTAATCCAGTGCTTTACATAAAAAAAGACTTAAATCAGAGTTTTATTTGAGTTCAGGCCTTTTTAACCCTTACGCTGCATTAGGGACATTTTTGGTCTTTTGCAGTTTAATTTCTTTGACCATTTTGGCTGTTTTAATGCAAATGGTATGAAATTTGGCAAAATTGTGACTTTTTGGATACATGTAAAAAATGTGATCCCATTTTGCAAAATATGTATAACACACACTGTGTAGATCAAATAGTAACACTCAGCACCATAAAGACCAAAAATGGCCCATTGAAACCCATTAAAACGTTGTTTAAATCTGAGGCTGTCAGTAATACATGAAACATGATTTTTGCACAAACATCCTTTCATTTTGAAGCAAAAGCATTATATTTGCATTATATAGTGATGACGTCACTACATATTTATTCCCTATGGGTGGAAATGCACCTTATTTTAGGCAATAGGCAATGTTTAATAGGTGGCCATTTTTGGTCTCTAACGCGCTAAGTGGGATTTTTTGCAAAATGGGACTGTGATAATCCAAATCTAAAGTTTTCTCTTTGCATTTAGTTTATTGAAAATAATTGAATTTTTGTGTTTTTTCCTCTTATACAAATCGATGGTTTCGCAAACAAAACTGGTAATTAAAGGGTTAAAATCCTGAAATTTAATACATTTTTGGTAGTTATGATGAGGACTGATGCTGGTTAAAAGATTTAACTTGGTAAAAGTGGAAAATAATAATAATATATAATATTTTAGGCAATGTTTAATATGTGGCCATTTTTGGTCCTTAATGCACTCAACGGTGTTAAAAATCTAATGCAGCACAAGGGTTAAGAAACTACCAGGTGAATTTTAGCCAATTATAACTCTGGCTCAGTGTTGTTTGTGTTCATTAAAGCTACACTGTGTGATTTTTACCTCCATCTAGTGGTGAAAAGGTATATGACCATCCAGGGAATATTAGTTTCTGTTCCTCTCAATTCCAATTTCGTTTTAATTCCTACGGTGGCCAGTGTAGTCCAAGATTAACATGGCTTCCAGTTCGACCTCGTCCATGAGTGTTAACTCAAACGTCAACGCGAAAGGCGAAGCTTGAATTAACGGGTATGTCCCTCTTTGGCTAATGTACTTTCAAGATTGAGGGGCAACATGCCGAAACCCTTACCCGTACGTATTTTCAATGGCGTATTATACACTCACGAGAATACTTTATTACTTGAACGAAGTAAATATACATTAACGAGCACATATATTTTTGAAAGAACTAAGTGTTTTTAGCTAAGAATAAACTAAAAGAGTTACACAGTGTAGCTTTAATAAATGCTGTTCCTGACAAATAAATGAAATATATTAAGGGTATAAGGAAAGATTGGCGTGTGTGTGTGTGTGTGTGTGTGATGAATCCACTCACTCCATGCTGAACGACAGACTCCGGAAATCTCTTGAGTAACAGCAGCAGCATCTCGGCTTTCTCCAGCGTGTTGAAACACTGTTCTGTGGCCTTCAGGAGCATCTTACACTGAACTGGACCTGGAAGAGTCTCAAACACACCTGCACACACACACACACACACACAAAGTTACTAAAGAAACCACAATAATCACATGCCTGTTATTCAACAACAGTACAATAACTACATGTTATTAAATAAACTACGGTTATTATTATTATTAAAGTTGCCCTATTATGCCTTTTCAAAAATGACATTTCATGTTTCATGTAATAAAGCTGTTTGTGAAAAGTTTCAAAAATCAAAGTACATCACAAATAAAGCTATTGTGTCCTAAAAGAAACAATAAAAGACACTTTTGTTGCTGTTCGTATCACTGTGATCAAGAGCTGAGATTCAGATATGATAATGAGCGTTTGCTTTCTGGCCAATCACAGCAGAGCAGCTCTCAGAGAGGCGGGGCTTAGAGAGACTGAGTGTTTCAGACACTGAGAGGAAATGAGGAAATAAAGTGTGTTTGATCTTGGATTAATGTGAACCTGTTGAGCTTTTAAAACACATAAAACTTTAAATAACCCATTTTGATGTGGGTCACACACCTTTGAGAAACTGTGCGTGTTTGTCTTGGCTGTCGTTTCGTAACGCCGCAGTGATCAGCGCGATCTCACGCCAGACCACCGGCTGCTCGGGGAAATTCACGAATCTGTGCAGCAGAAACACGACTTAACACGACAGAAGCATGAACTCATCCAAAGTGAAAGTGTGTGTTGGAGACTCACATGTCGTACAGGAGCCTGCCGGCGGAGGCCGTCCTCTCGGCGTTGCGCTCGATGCTGTACATCTCATACTGCACACACATGAACACAACACACACATCAGACACAAAACTGCCTGCAAACACACTGCACATTCAAGACATTTAATCAGTTCGTGTATTCTCTGGGAATCGATGCTTGTCTCCACGCACACACCAATTTAATACAGTGACCTGGAAGATTAAACTAAACTAAAATACATTTAAAAAAAATACAAATAATATTTGACATTTATTTATAATATAGTAGTTGGCCAATCACAACAGACTGCGACATCTGACCAATCAGAGCAGAGCATCTCTCGGAAAGGCTGGGCCCATATTCACAGCCACTAGTGAGGTATCTATGTATAATTGTCTATAATACAATATACGGCTGTTGTGTCGTTCAGTCATCATGGTTAACAATCGAGTAACAAAAAAAACCCAAAATGTAAACATACTTAAACTTTAAATGTTCTACTAAAGCAAGCAGGCTTTGGAAAAAACTTAAATAAAACCAGGATTAATATCGGCGTGGTATATATTACTAACAGGTTATTAACATAACATTGGTGGTGCTTGAGGATCCATTCCATTCCTTTGATAATACCCAGAAAAGCGCTATATAAAATGTAACTAATTATTAATTCATATTCTTGCAGCTAATTCATTACGATGACATAACATGAGTGTGATCAAACGCCCATTACAAAAACTAATTTATTAGCTGATATATAATTTATACAATTCGTGAATTCTATTCATCTCAGGATGGTAAAAACGAAATCTCCCATCGTTCCCCTCTCCTTCACATCGTCATCAAGCTTCGTCTTTGTTATTGTTTTGAAAATGCGACCTCTGGCGGCGAAAAAATACATATTGTACCTTAAATCAAACCGTTTCAGACACTGTGAGAGAAGCTATTATTATTTTCACAGTTCAAACACTATATAGGATGAGGATGGTCTCCATCTACATCTACGATTAAAAACCCCTGGACTAGAGCACTAAATTGTGTGTGCAGGGAGGTTGTTATTATATATGATCGTGTGTGTGTTCATCATCACCTGTATGTTGAAGTCTGTGGGGTAGAGGGTGCGCGCGGTGATCAGCCAGGCTTTCGCTGCATACGGGTCTTGTGGCACGAGCTCGCGCGCGCGCTTCACCAGGAACTCACAATCGCCCTGCGCGGACATTTGACCCGTTAACGGGGGAAAAATAAGTAAAATAAAGATAAGCCCCTCAGATGTTCAAAGACTAAAGCACAGACTAGAAATCACCGGGACGACCGCCGAGGGTTCAACTTCCGGGTTGAACCGGGTCCGTTCCTTTCAAAATTAAAGTCTCTTTTCCCCACTCAGTGAAACCATTACACAGGCTGCATCCGAAATCGTTTAACATTTAGTAGACAAAAACAGTATGATACAAAATAATATGTCTGAATTCACACAGAGAATGTCTGATTCACAGTACCCATATAAGGCCCTGTCCCAATATCCGCACTTGCGCCCTTGTGCCCCTCAATGCGCGTTCTCGCTAAGGGGTGCAAGACCGTAGGGTGTCCCAATCCTCTAATAGTGTTCTCCAGGGGTGATCAAAAGGGCACTTAATGCACCCTTTTCGTAAGTGCGCATCAGACCTCACTTTGCTATAGGATATTACCCAGAATCCTTGTAGGGGAGAAAGGTTGCTATGGTGCTGTTCGGGAGCGGAAACTCCGAAGATAAAGGATGCCGGTGTGGTGAAGAATTTTTCAAAAATATTTCACGAAATGTAGTTTTAAGAGTTTTTCAGTCGAGAATATAGTTGTTTAAAGCTCAAATCTGTGGTTTATTTATAAAAAATAGCGCCTATTTTAAAAAATTGATCTGACGTTCGGAGTTCCAGGTAGTCACAGGGCGGCGGGTGCTCAGCGCTCATGTACCCCGCCTGCAACAGCCTTGCCCCGGCTAGTCATTCTTGCGTTTCCCGCGGGCTCTGTGTCTAGTGGTTAAACATGAGCTATAAATCGGCTTGTGTATATCAGACGGGCGATCTTTGGTCTCATTATTCTATGATTTGTTCCCTGGAAAATCGTTTTGGCTGAGGGGAAAAGTGAAGTTTCATAACTAGCCTATATTTAGGCTATTTAACTGTAACGTTGAAACGTTTGACTGAATCTTTTAACTTGCCTTATTTGTTGACTTATATAGCTTCTTAAACGTATACTACTTATACTTTTTAAGCTTATACTTTAATAATGGCTATTCTTGGTCAATAAAATAAAAAGAGACAAGGTTGTGTCATTTTATTTTATACAGCCTATGTTAGACTATTTTAATCTATAGCCTATACAAAATATATCACCAACACGTCATGTTTTTTGTTTTGTTTTTTTTTTCATGTATGGGAATTTCATATATCAATTTCCATAATAACAATTAACATTGCATTTCGAATCTCTGTGAATATGGTAAGGCAGTATAAACTCAGGTAAACCTCAATCACATTTTATCTTAGCCAAAAACTTTTTTAATATTAATAGCATTAAGAGAAAGGTTGCTGGGTAAGAGTAAAAAAAAAAGAAGTAGCTTTTTGAGGTGTGCAAAACTGTCCCAATTCTGCTCTTCACAGCTTCGGGCCCTTGCGCTCTTTCTCCGCTAAGTGCACTTTCAACAAGTGTCCACTTCGAGGAAGGCCTTAGGGCTCAAGTGAGTATTGGGACAGGGCCTAAGAGGTGTAAAGTCCAGGGGTCACAAAGTAAAAGTCCTGCCATGTTTATTCCACCCATGAACTCCTAGCTGAAAAACTGTGGGACAAAATACTGAGGAGAACTTTTACCTTCTGAATCTACTACTACTACTACTTCCAATGAGATTATGAAGTTTAATACAATAATCATTTATTATTAAAACCACAGGAGAGGATTTATTTTTTATTTTTTAGGGTTTAGGGTTTTTTGTTTTGTTTTTTTCAATTTATGTTAGAATCTCCACGCGCTGATCACAGATAAAACAACTTGTGCATTACTGATGAAGAAAAAAAACAAAAATATATATTTCTTACTTATGTTTTATCATTTGCTTATGCTTTATCATTAAAAAAGACTGGCCACATCTAAAGAATGTCCAAAGACTGGCCATTTATCATTAGACTGACCACAAATGCTCGAATGTCTCAGAATATAGTAAGTCTAAACCAAAACTACTAAAAACTGAAAAAATGGAACCCATACTGGTTCATTTTATGTTAAACTTTTAATCCTGATTATGGATGAATTAATTTGAATCTTCATTTATTATTTGATCGTCTGCTGTTACGAAATAAAATTGGACTTAATGATCTGACTGGATCTCATCCCTGCATCAGTTACAAACCAATTGCAAATGTTTTATTGCAAGAACATACTTTTTGATGTATTTAGTGAGATTCAGTCAGACCGAGAAGTGATGGACAAAAAATATTTTTTAAATTAATTATAAAAAATAATAAAACAATGATTAAAAAAAAAGCAATGCAGGCCTATATGAGCTAGTAGCCTGTTTGTTAATCATGTCAAAAATGATCTTTTCTTAGAATAAATTCTGTCCTCTTGTTGTTTTTAACACTTTAGAAGCAGAATAAATTAGCCTTTTCAACATGAGTTTATGCTATAAAACACACACACTCGTGCGACACTTGATATTAGAACAGAGTTTGCCGAGTGACACGTCTCAACTTTTAGAGAAGTGACAGAAGCAGAGCTCGTCTGGTCTGAATAAAATGCAAGTAAACTATGAGTAGCTATATTAAAAGATATATTGGATAAAAAGATAATTGATAAATTGATTGTGATATGTTTGAAAAGAATAATCATTGAAATAACCATAAAACAATCAAAAGCATATTTTTTTCTTTTTCTTATAGGCGTAAAGTAATTATTAGAGTATGCGATTTCAGACGCACCCCATGATATCAGTCTAATTCTCCTTTTTATTTATTTCTGTTATTTCTCTCTTCAAGACCACACACACACACACACACAAAGCGAATGTCAAACTAACTCATGAAACCATTCAGATTACTGGAAACATTTGATCCGGTCTCAGTGTGAACAGCACTGGAAAGCGAATTCACACCGAAAGGAATTCCATACATAGCACTATACCTTTCGCTAGCCTAGCTTAGCACAAAGACTGGATGTACATTTTACAGCTTGCGTACTAATCCCAATAAGAGGCAAAATTACGCAAACATTTACATGTTGTGATGTATATAGTCACAGAGTATAAAAATAACAAGGCTATATGAGACACAGCCATCTTCGTATAAATATTCACCGTATAAATATTGGGAACTATATTCTCAGAAGGCGAAGCACTGCTACTCGGGCGGAGTGATAACCGCATCACCGAGAGACGCACCGTGGCTACAGGCGAGATTGTTTTGTGTATGTTGTCTGTGTATGTAGTTTACGTATTTTAGTTTGTTAAGAGTTTTAAAGGACACTTTTTGAAAACTAAACCATGTAAGAATAACGAGCCTATGTATGATTGAATCTGGAAATGGAATAACTGAGAAAAAAATGAGAAATATTCCTCAATGCAAAACATCTTTAATTCGATCTCAACAGATTCGTTAAAAGACTGTTTACATGAAAAATATGATTTCTACATATTTGCTTGTGTATTTGACGTTTAGCCTCACACACAAAGCAGTTTGTCAGTTTGCAAATACTGAACACGAGTTCTCTTTTCCAGAAAATTACACTTCTAATACATTTTTTTAACATCAAGCACATCCTTATTACTCATTCATCCGTGTTTCTTTATCACTGTGTCAATAATTCCTGCCCACTACACGCTGCAATACAAATAAATAATGCAAAAATACAACTTACTAAACTCTAATTATTATTTCAAAAACGTATTTTTACAATAAATACATGTATCTGAAATACTGCCTTTTAACAATATAGTGCAATAAACACTAGTCCACCACACACTTGTGCTGCGTCATGTAATTAAATACAAATTATGCCAATAACAAACTTACAGGTGAATGTGTGAGACCATGAACACACCACCATTCTCACACATTGCCCACTTCCAGTTTCAAAACCTCAGGGCCTAATAAAATCAACATTGATGTTGACGGAAAGATATTTTAGATATACATAAATAACGTAATAGTGTAAAACGTAATACTTGTTCTAAGATACGTGTTAGGCTAGGTTGCTGTAAAAATGCAATGCCAATTTGAATTGAATACATTATTTAGTTCATAAGGCATCTTTGGTCTGTTCTTTCAGTCTATTTTACTCGATGAAGTGGTTTTAAACTGTGACATGCATGTGTTTATATAGACGATTATTTTGTGGTTGGTGAAGTTCTGCTGCTATGCGCTTCTGCTTTTATACTGTATCACTGTATCACAGAAATAGTGTTGTGTTTCTGTAGCTATAACTAGAACAGATGAACGTTTATTTGATTCAAACTAAAAATAATCTCTGAACATAAAGTGCATTTGCACATTTGAGATGATAAAAGTATAGAGTTGTTTGTTTGTTTTTGTCACCATTGTTGAAGAAAGTATTTCTAGAAACTGCTGACCCCCAGCGTCTGTCCGTCTTGCCCTCAGATGAGGAAACTTCCTCTTCCTCCTTTCTTTGTGAAGTCAGATAATCTCGTGTTTCACCATAAGCCGTGTTTCAGCGAGAGCCAGAACACAGCCGGACTGCAGTCAGGATCGACTCCTCCTCTGTTCTGCTGGATTACTCCTGACATGATGCTCATCTTTGGACTGATGCTTTTGCTGGAAACTGCTGCATGTGAGTCAAACTGATACCGGATCAAACACTTTTATTACTTTTCCAACTTATATGAAGGTCGCAGCTTTGGAATTGGTTAGCTCACACTTAATATTTCATTGTTGTTTTATTGTTTAAAGTCCCCATGTGGTGAAAATCTTGCACTTTTATAGCCTTATGAATGGACTCATTTGCATATTCATAGAACTCTGGATATTAAATGAGGCAAGGGTGTCGAGTTACATTCAAGATGTTTTAAGGCATGAATAAATTGTTTAAATATGTCATTTTGGGGATCAAAGACGAGTTTTAAGGGATAAAATGATTGACTACAGCAGGACTTTAAACTTTCTCTATATCAAAAATTAAAATGCATGATATTTACATTTGCATATATATTCATTTAGCAGATTCTTTTATCCAAATATGAGGAACATATTAAGCAATTTGTCACAGTCATGTTCATCTGTACATTAGAGTAGAAGTGGAAAGCAGAAAAGGATTGTTTTGGTAGTAAGTCTTGGTTTAATGTTTGTGGTGTGGTTAATTATTATTTGTAGTACATGTTAATTATTACCTTTAAAATCTATTATGATCTGGTGTTGGAGTCATAGAGTTCAGAAAAAAAAACTAAAATTATATATTTCTCCTGTGATGTTGAATGTTTTAATGGACACGTTACATTGTGATTGAGTGAAAATTGTCCTTTTAAAGAGTTTTTCTTTTTTTTATCTAAAAAGACTGAAGAAACACCCAGAGCTGACAAATAAAGCTTTGTGTTGTAACATTACGGGTTTCTAAAGTAATTTTAGTTTTCAGTGATTGGTAATAGTAGGTGTGTCTCTAATGACACATTGTCTTAAAAATGGTGATTTCAGATGGGGATTTTTGCAGCGATTCCAGTGAAGATAAATGTCTGGTTTCCAAAGAACCTTTCAGTGATCTTTTTGTGTAATTTCACTACAAAACGCCAAAGAATTTTGTACAAGTATACAATTTTTTTGTCTTTGTTTTTTTTTTTATTTGAATATTAATATGCGAGTAAAAGTGTAAATCAGACTAAAGGGTTGATCTTCCGCTGATGTCTGATATTGATGATGCGAGGTCAGATGTTTCACTGAGATCAGATCAAGTGTGTGTTTATTCACATTTATACTGTAGAAGTTTCATTTTGTGTAAAAATTTAAATCACTGTTTTTCTGATTTTAATTTATGCTAAAATAGTCACTGATTATTATAGAAGCTTGTTTCCGCCACTGAATAAAAAAAATAAATAAATAATTGTGACTTTTTATCTCACAACTGCGAGATATAAAGTCACAATTCTGAGAAATAAAGTTGAAATTGCGAGAAAAAAAGACGGAATTGAGACTTATATCACCTTTTTTTCAGACTTTTTTTCTCATATTTGCATCTCAAAATTCTGACATCTTTTCTCAGAATTGTGAGTTATCTCGCAATTCTGACTTTATAACACGCAATTGACTTTATAACACACAATTCTGACTTTAAAACACACAATTCTGACTTTATAACTCACAATTCTGACTTTAAAACACACAATTCTGACTTTATATCTCACAATTCTGACTTTATATCTCACAATTCTGACTTTATAACACACAATTCTGACTTTATAACTCACAATTCTGGCTTTATAACACAATTCTGACTTTATAACACAATTCTGACTTTATAACACAATTCTGACTTTATATCACGCAATTGCGATTTTATTTCACGGAATTCTGACATTATAATATGCAATTCTGACTTTATATTAATCAATTCTGACTTTATATCTCGCAATTCTGAGAAAAATAGTACAATTGTTAGATAAAAAGTCACAATTACCTTTTTTTTGGCATTCTGTGGCGGAAACAAGCTTCCATAGATTTTTGCCTTACTGCATGATTTTTGCATAATTTAAATTTCCAACATTGAAATAGTGTGTGTTTTGTTCTTCAGGTGTGGAGTTTAACTGCAGTTTTAATCAGTCTGGTCCCTGTAACGCTGTTCTCGGAGACGAACTCAGACTGAAGATGGTGGACTCTAGTAAAAATGACCTGAGGATACACAAGAGAATCTACAACACACCAGATGATCCATTTTGTAAAATAAAGAATGACAGGATAAAAAAGGAATGTGATCTCTTTAAAAACAGACCTGTGTCAGTCAGTAATGGGATTCTGGTAATAAACTCTGTGATCAGAGCAGATTCAGGGATTTACAGTTTACAAGTCTTTAACTCATTAGGCGAAGGAAAACCTAAAGCAGATCTTCAAGTGATTGTTGAAGGTACAGTAACTCTCTCATCAGACTCATTACAATCTCATCCTCATGCAAATCAATGCTAATAACACATAAAGAACAGATGAATGATAGAAAGACAGAAACAGATGAAACACAAGTCAAGTCGGTTTAAAGTAAATTAAATTGAAATAACTTAATCCGCCTACTTAAAAATTTAAGGCAGCAACTTACGAATTAATATTTTGTAGACGTTTTAGTGTTTAACTCTTAATAACCTTGTCCTGTGTTTTCCTTCCACAGGTACTAACGATCCTGCAACCATTGCCATCGTTCTGGGATGTCTTGCTGTAGTTCTTATACTTCTGGTCATCGTGGCTTATTACTTTTACAAGAAGAAGAATCAGCTCAAACCCACACGAAGTCAGTCCGGTTGAGTTCATCTAGCAAATATCGGCTTCATCACTTACTTTATGCCCTCATCTGAAAATTTATTAAATTAAACAATCTGATAAATTAATATGTACAGTACATATAATTTACTCACTCTTATGTTGCTCCAATATTTTTCATAGAGTAAATAATGACAGATATTTATATTTATGCATGAAAAACTGTTATTTTAATAGAAAACAGGTGAAACAGTTTGGGGGATATTTATTGATTAGCTTTCATGACTGATAACAATTCCGGACATTTCCTCATAGTTTTTTTTTTTGTTAAAGATGCTTAATGTGAGTATTTCTCCGGATCAGAGCGACTGCAGATTCACCAAACACAAGAAAAAATATTCACACAAATATGAGAAGAAAAAAAAAGCTTTGACGAGTAAATAACGCAGTTTTAGGAACTGAATAAAATGCATAACGGTTTACAGTAGCAATGTGAACATGTAAATCTTATCTTGCCCTCGTTATTTGCCCTGGGGCTGTTGGGAAATGTAGTGTGCACAGGGAAGAGTCAATATTAGGGCGAGGGCGCCCTCTGGCGGTCAAGGAGGTTACGGAGTCTGGGATTGTGACTATACTGCATTTGATTTCATTTTACTATTTTTTTAATTGGCATATTTATTTATACTCTTTATTTTATTTGCATATATATATATATATATATATATATATATATATAATAAACAAGAATAAACAAGAATAAGCAAAAAAATAAATAAAAAATAAATAGAGTATAAATATGCAAATAAAATAAGTAAAGGTATAGGTTTAAAAATAAATAAATTACAGTATAAATTAATAAATAAATAGATAGTGTAAATAAATATGCAAATTAAATAAATAGTAAAATAAAATACAAATAAATAAAAAGTGTAAATAATTAGGCAAATAAAATAAATAATAAAAATAAATACAATACAGTATAAATAAATATGCAATTCAAATAAATAGTATAAACAACTTAAAAACAATATAAATAAATAAAGAGTATATGTAAATGTGAAAAATATGTTAAATGAAATAATAGTTTTAAAATAAGTTCTTATCATGATCACAGTGTTGATCTTGTTTTGTAGAGACTTTTATGTTTTAATTTATGTTCCTCTTGTGTCTGTATCCTGTTCCTGTGGCCATGCTTGTAGTTTTTTGTAGTTTTCCCTGTTGATTAGTCTTTTAGGTGTCATGTAAATAAGCTCGTTTATCCCTGTGTTTCACTTGTTCTCTGTCCGTTGTCAGATCCTAGATGTTTGCTGTTCCTCGTGGTCCTTATTTAGTTTATTTCATTAAACTCCACTTCCTTAACTCCCAGTTGTTAAAAATCTGTAGTTTCATGGTGAATTTCTTCAATTAATTCCCATAATCTGATTTTTAACCCTGGTTGTAGAGTCTCTAGTACTTTGCTTTACTATCAACATCAATGCAACATAACTCATGTGTATAATCTCTGTCTGTGTGTCTGCAGATGTCGAATATGCCACCGTCAGCTCTCAGAACAAGATGAAGATGAAGGAAGAAGAGATTCATTATGGAGAAGTGACGTTCATGAGCTCCAGCGTTCAGCGGCCGCGTCAGACGCATGACGATTGTGTGTATTCTGAGGTTCACACACGCTAGTGTGATTGAAACAACCACAAAACCCACAGACTGCGAGTGTGTAAACACAACGGACGGCCCAGTTACGAGCGGACTATGATGCGATGCTCCGGTGATTGAGTGTCTGATGCGTCCAGAGCAGAACCGGACAAACCCTGAGTGATGTGAACAATAAATAATCATCTGTTCTTTATACATTGTTTAGTTTTTTTGTCAAACAATGCAATTAAAACACATCTGTTTTTTCTGTACTCTTGTCTTTTCCTTCACTTTGTCACCAACTAGTGAACAACAAAACATTACAAGAAACAAATAATGATCCAGTGCATAGCTGTCAACATTGAACATTGAAAATAAGGGAGTTTTCCCGGAATCCATCCCCAAAATAAGGGATTTTTTTTTGCACGATTCTCACCCACAAACTTTAAAAATAAAGCACAATCCTTAAAAGTCTAAGGTGTTCATAACTAGCCTATGTGTGAGAGAGAAAGAGACAGTGTCATTTAAAGGGAAAAAAATCTACATTTGGATTAGTGTGTGTTGCTAGCATTTGGACAACAATTTCAACATTTAGCCTATCACACATCTTCTAAAATCCGCAAAATAGGGAAGTGGGCTGTCTGTTTATTTTAATTACATTTACACATTTTGTGTAGCTTTAAAGAGCCTATTTAGCCTGATGGTGGACCATCACTCAGAAGACACACTATCCTATCTTTATATCCTCCTATAGGCCCAGAACGTTTTTTTTTCAAGTTTTTTTTTCTTCTTCATGTAATAACATTGTTAAGAGCTTAAGAAACAAATGGAAAAAAAGAAAATATATTTTATTCATATATTTGAAAATCTATTTATAATAATTATTATTTGTTTAAATTACATTGATATCTGAATTAATGTAAAAACATAGACTTTCAAACATCAAAATGTAATGTATTAATATGTATTCGAGTACAAAATTACATTCAGCTAGCCTAAACATGGTTTCCTATTTTTTATTTATTTTTTTGCCTGGAAACGCAAAGAAATTCCAGGCAAAGAAACACGCCTGCCTGTCGCGTGAAAAATAGGCGTCAGTTCTATTTCTAGCATGCACGCGTTTTCTGGAGACGCGCGTGTCACGCAGGCAGCGTGCAATAAAAACAGACACGCCACGCAGCCAGTGTGTCTCCGGCCAGCGCGCGCGGCACCGCATCCGAGGATAAACGACTTCAAGCCGAATCTGTCCGAGCCCGTACGTCTCACACAATCAGAGAGTAAAAATACGGTATATTTTACGGGAAAATATTTTCAAAATACTCAAACGGGAAGACAGCGGGAAAAGAGCTAAAATGAGAAACCCGGAAAAAACGGGAGGGTTGACAGCTATGATCCAGTGTCAGGTTTGAAGCGCTGTGTGATTTAGGCCCTATCATGTTTCGTTGAGAGAAACCGAGAGGGTTTACTAGTCAGTGTTGGGTAAGTTACTCTAAAAAAGTAATTAATTACTAGTTAATTACCTCTTCAACAGTGTAATTAGATTACTGTACTAATTACTCTCTCTAAAAAGTATTTAATTAATTTTAATTACTAATTAGCCTACTTTCAAAATCCCAAATCAATCTCAACCAGCTGAATAATACAAGGATAGACATGAATCTGTTTTAATTCTTTCAAATAAATACTATAAAATTGCATGAATTATCCTTAAACTGACCAAGGTGGAGAAGGTTACATTATAAAAACATACTTTTTAGCATCAGACAGTACATTTTTGATGTTAAACCCACTATTGTTTTGTCTGATCTCATGACTTTTCATACATATTTTACAATAATTCGAATTTGTACGAGTGCGGTCGTAATATTTAGACACCTCATACGAATCGCTGTGAGATCGGATTGATCTATGCAGTATTTACCTCAATTACATCAGAAGTAACTGTAATTAAATTACAGATAAATGAAGAGTAATCCCTTACTTTACATTTTCAAGGGAAAAGTAATTAAATTACAGTACTTAATTAGTTAAACGCAACACTTGTTTTAGTGATGTGTAACATTTCATTAGAAACACGTCAGTTGAAAGGAAATGTTGAAAATGTAACAACTTACAAATTTTGACATGTTCCTCAATTGTGTCTTCATTGAGTAAAATGCTTTAGATATTATACTACGTTTTGGATCATCATCATCCATTATGATTTTGTTCTTGGACACATTGATTCAAAGTTGGGTAAAAGTTGTTTGATGATGTGAATCGTGACAGGTGTTTATGCAGAAGCAGCCAATGGAAAGCCCTAGTTTTGTAGGTGTACCTTGTCCTTGCACTTCTCCTTTTCTCTGAGAAAGTGCGCAGTAGTCTTTATATATACGGCGATCGTGTGACGGACCAACATCTTCTGCTGGATTATCGGCTCTTCTCTGGACTCTAGAAATGATGCTCATCTTTGGACTGATGCTGCTGCTGCTGAAAATTGCTGCAAGTGAGTCGACTTTCAGATCAAACGCGTCTGATGATGAAGCTCTGACATTAAAAAGAGTTTTTCCAAAACAGCAGGATCTAGTAATAGAGTTGTGTGTTTAAATGTTTTTGTTTAGTGTTTTAATCGTGTTTTCAGCCTACAGTTTGTGGAAAAACAGCGTGTGTGTTAAAGAGCCATGAAATCGAAATTTGACTTGTATGACTCAAAATTCACTTTGGAAATACTGAATCAAGAGTTGAAATCAATCACCCCAGCTCCTCTAATACTAGTGCAAACTATTACAGCTCTGCTGATTGATTAAAACTTAAGGAGCTTAAAAACTAAGCTAGTATTTTATTTTAAAAAGTTAACCTAGGCTAGTCTGTGTTATATTATTCCTCATGTGGTCCACATAGTTTTAACGCTGCTTCGTGGTTAATGTGTGTGTGTGTGTGTGTGTGTGTGTGTGTGTGTGTGTGTGTGTGTGTGTGTGTGTGTGTGTGTGTGTGTGTGTGTGTGTGTGTGTGTGTGTGTGTTGTTCTTCAGGTGTGGAGCGGTTCTGCTGGTTTAATCAGTCTGGTCCCTGTAACGTTGTTCTCGGAGACAAACTCAGTCTGATGATGACGCTGGACGCTAGTAAAAATGACCTGAGGATACACAAGAGAATCTACAACACATCAGATGATCCATTTTGTAAAATAAAGAATGACAGGATAAATGAGGAGGAATGTGATCTCTTTAAAAACACACTTGATGAAGTGTCAGTCAATAATGGGATTCTGGTAATAAACCCTGTGATCAGAGCAGATTCAGGGATTTACAGATTACAAGTCTTTAACTCACAAGGCGTAGAAATACTTAAAGCAGATCTTCAAGTGATTGTTGAAGGTACAGTAACTCTCTCATCAGACTCATTACAATCTTTTCCACACCGTTGACTCTCATCGTATGCCGTTGTTTTTTTGTGGGGCCATTTCAGCATTTAGAATCGCTGTCAGTGAGAGTGAGAACTCTGATTGGCTGTTCAGTGATGACGTCACTTTGTAGGACAACTCGGAAGCTAGCGGCGCACGGGTTCCCTCGGTCGAAAAGCAATGCATTTTCCCCATAGACTTTTGGAAAAATAAGATCTGTGTTTAACAAAGGGTTGTGACCCTTACACGTTTTGTCTAGCAAGATAATCTTTACAAGTTAATCCAAAATGTATACATTTTGAAGCCTATAAAGATTTTTAAAAACACAATCGGCCACAATAAAGTTTAAAAAAAAACACAAGCAGGTTATAACTGTGTGTTCTGTGTCATAGATCAAAACGTGAAAATATTTAGAGGCTTCGTTCACCACAGACCTTATTTGAGGCCATTTAGCAAAAACCCATTCAAAAATCCCATAGGCTTTAGCGCGAGGGAACCGTAGTGCTAAAATGCTAACTCACTTCCGCGTTTTGGCCTACAGAGTGATGTCGTTACTTCGGCACTCTATAGCAAAACAGCTCGCAAAGAAGTCAAGATGGTACAGACAGAAGGCTGTTATTTATAGACTGTAAAAAATATGGACAAAGCGTCTGTCTGTGACGTCACCCATAGACTCTCTGAAGAACGGGTTTGAGGCTGTTTATGGGGGGTATGGGCGGCGCCATACTGGAAACTCTTGGAAACTACAAAATACAAAAGTTTCAGAAAGGATACAGAGGTGGTATGATGTGTTGTGTCAGGTCAGCTCTTTGGTGACGTGATGATTATGTTACTATTGATCATCTGCAGTATCCATTGTATTAAGCAAGCCCTGACCATTTGATTGGTCCGAACAGCTTTGATTCGGGCATAGTTACTCCACAACGGATCAAATCCAGACCGAACTTCCCATCCTTAAATGTTGTGGGCGGGGCTAAGCTCGGCCAGCATCCAGACTACCTGTTTGCAAAGCCTGCGCCGAAATTGCGACTGATTTACCAAAGAATCCACAGTGAAATGTACCGAATATATTATGCTCAACTGATTCACATTGTTGAAAATACGTAAAATAACCACATTCCTAGCATTAGGATCCTTCGGAAGTCCGTCCTGTATGGCTCTCCTCTCAACACACGCCAGTGGGCGGGGCCAAAGTTACAATAGTAAGTGGGTGTTTGGGCGGGGCCAAAGTTGCAATAGTAAGTGGGCGTTTGGGCGGGGCCAAAGTTGCAATAGTAAGTTGGCGTTTGGGCGGGGCCAAAGTTGCAATAGTAAGTGGGTGTTTGGGCGGGGCCAAAGTTGCAATAGTAAGTGGGCGTTTGGGCGGGGCCAAAGTTGCAATAGTAAGTGGGCGTTTGGGCGGGGCCAAAGTTGCAATAGTAAGTTGGCGTTTGGGCGGGGCCAAAGTTGCAATAGTAAGTGGGTGTTTGGGCGGGGCCAAAGTTGCAATAGTAAGTGGGCGTTTGGGCGGGGCCAAAGTTGCAATAGTAAGTGGGCGTTTGGGCGGGGCCAAAGTTGCAATAGTAAGTTGGCGTTTGGGCGGGGCCAAAGTTGCAATAGTAAGTGGGTGTTTGGGCGGGGCCAAAGTTGCAATAGAGTAAGTGGGCGTTTGGGCGGGGCCAAAGTTGCAATAGTAAGTGGGCGTTTGGGCGGGGCCAAAGTTGCAATAGTAAGTGGGCTTTTGGGCGGGGCCAAAGTTGCAATAGTAAGTTGGTGTTTGGGCGGGGCCAAAGTTGCAATAGAGTAAGTGGGCGTTTGGGCGGGGCCAAAGTTCCAATAGTAAGTGGCCGTTGGTTTTCTTCTGAAGAGGTGGTCTTTCACTACTCTATTACGTCATAAAACGGCACATTCAGGACGAGTTGTTAGCTGGCCTTGGTAACAATAAAAGCTGTTTTTGGACTAACACGAGCATGTTCAATTCTGAAACTTACAGGATATTCTTATAGTTTGATGACCTCTCATTATTATGTCAAAAGATTTCTTATCACCCCTTTAAAATTCTATGAATGTTTGTGTAATATTTTAATTCATGATGAGGTGTGTGTGTGTTTTGTTCTTCAGATGTGAAGTTTACCTGCAGTTTTGATCAGTCTGTTCCCTGTTCCGTTGCTCTCGGAGACGAACTCAGACTGAAGTTGGCGGATCCTAGTAAAAATGACCTGAGGATACACAAGAGAATCTACAACACACCAGAAGATCCAGTTTGTAGAATAAAGAATGACAGGATAAATGAGGAGGAATGTGATCTCTTTAAAAACAGACCTGTGTCAGTCAGTAATGGGATTCTGGTAATAAACGCTGTGGTCGGAGCAGATTCAGGGATTTACAGTTTACAAGTCTTTAAGTCGACCGGCAAAGAAATATTTAACGCAGATCTTCAAGTGATTGTTGAAGGTACAGTAACTCTCTCATCAGACTCATTACAATCTCATGTTCTCAAAGATCTCACTCTCATGCAAATCAATCTGTAGATTCCCTGTGAAAGTTTTTATTTCTGTAACACACAGTAAACACACGTAGTGTGGAAGAATGGCATTGCAGAGCTGCCAACTCTCACGCATTGACTACAAGTCTCACACTTTTCTTAAGTCTAGTTCACACTACATGATTTTAAAACGTCGGGCTGAACTGTGCGGTTCACACTACATGACTTGCTCTCAGTGAAATCAAGAGTGTTCAAGTTGTTGAGCTGTTCACACCACACAACACAACGTGATTGATCCACAACAGGAGGTAACTCACTACACGAGTTGACAACGCACTACATAGAGATACAACCACTATCGGATGATGAGAGCAAATCATTTGTGACTCAATGAGAGCTGTTTCACTATGGGTACGGTCTAAATCCTGAAAATAATCCAATTAATAATGAGTTGACAACAACTCTGTCACCCAACGATTCTATCTTCAAGTTTTGTCACGAAAAACAATGCAATAAAACGAACCATAAATGACGCGAAACAGCACGTGCCCAAGCGAAGAAGACGAGAACACAACACACGAATATGGACGTCAGACAGAAACTTGTGCTGCACACTGTTTGCGCGATGATTTGCTCTGAGAAAAAAATGCAAAAAAAAAAAAAAGAAAAACTAAGATTTAACCGGTGTCCTCAACCCATGCGTTGCTATGATTGGCTGTAGCTCATGACATCACTGAGGTTGAGTCGCGCGACAGCATGCTAGATATTTTTCTGGGCTCGGCGAGGCGTCTGCGAGCGTCTTCGTTGTTGACTCTTTCATACTAACAGATCATTGCGTTCAAGCGCAAGCGTTCATTGCCCGCTAATCTCCCGCGATAACACCCTGACCTTCCGGCGAGCTCAACGATTTGCAAATCGGGCTTAACTTGAACAAAGCACCCCTGACCCCACGCATGACGAGTGATCTCTGACCTGAAGAGTGACCTCTGACCTGACACATGATGAGTGACCTCTGACCTGACACATGATGAGTGACCCCTGACCCCACGCATGACGAGTGATCTTTGACCTGAAGAGTGACCTCTGACTTGACACATGACGAGTGACCTCTGACCTGACACATGATGAGTGACCCCTGATCCAACACATGACGAGAGAGCTCTGTCCTGAAGAGTGACCTCTGACCCAACACATCATGAGTAACCTCTGACCCAACACATGACAAGTGACCTCTGACCTAACCCTAACCTCTAACCCTAACCCTAACCTCCGACCTGACACATGATGAGTGACCCCTGACCCAACACATGACGAGTGAGCTCTGTCCTGAAGAGTGACCTCTGACCCAACACATGACAAGTGATCTCTGACCTGAAGAGTGACCTCTGACCTGACACATGATGAGTGACCCCTGACCCAACACATGACGAGTGAGCTCTGTCTTGAAGAGTGACCTCTGACCCAACACATCATGAGTAACCTCTGACCCAACACATGACAAGTGATCTCTGACCTGAAGAGTGACCTCTGACCTGACGCATGATGAGTGACCCCTGACCCAACACATGACGAGTGAGCTCTGTCCTGAAGAGTGACCTCTGACCCAACACATCATGAGTAACCTCTGACCTGAAGAGTGACCTCTGACCTGACACATGATGAGTGAGCTCTGTCCTGAAGAGTGACCTCTGACCCAACACATCATGAGTAACCTCTGACCCAACACATGACAAGTGACCTCTGACCTGAAGAGTGACCTCTGACCTGACATATGACGAGTGACCTCTGACCTGACACATGATGAGTGACCTCTGACCCAACACGACAAGTGACATCTGACCTGACGCATGACGAGTGACCTCTGACCTGAAGAGTGACCTCTGACCTGACACATGACGAGTGACCACTGACCTAACTCATGACGAGTGACCTCTGACCTGAAGAGTGACCTCTGACCACATTTCTCCTTAAAAATGATCCTTTCAGACCTCTAATTTGTGACTGGTGTTTTGTTTTGCTCTTTCCTCTGCACTTCTGCATATGTCAATACGCTATATGTCAGATCAGGGGATACTCATCATGTGTCAGGTCAGAGGTCAATCGTCATGTGTCAGGTCAGTGGTCACTCGTCATGTGTCAGGTCAAAGGTCACTCTTCCGCCAATTTTTGGGATGAACAAAGCCTTTAACAGGCTGAATAATAAACTCACTGATTGATTGATTGATTGACTGTCAGATTGATGTGTCTGTGTTGTTTTCAGTGTCTGTGTTGTGTTCAGAGGGTCCATCATCTCTAGTGCATGTGCTGGTCTGGAGTTTTCAGATGGTGGTTCTGTTGGGTCTGTTAGGAGGTTTTCACGTCTACATGAGACTCACATCAGGTCAGACACATTGATCATCATCACTATGGATTTGACATGCAAATATTAAGAGTGTGAAGAAGATGATGAGAATCTGATGATTTTAGGAAAGAAAGAAGAAGATCAAAGTGTGCGAATGAGAAGATTTAGAGAAGGACATGAAGACACAGCAGAAGATGGAAGAGACCAGCAGCAGATCTCATCACATCAATGAGGAATCACTTTCACATCCGTCCCGCAGTCATTTTACACATCATTTATTTCACATATCAGCTCTTGGTATTTTAATATAATAAGCCGATCAGTTTCGCTCCCCTTCTGACGTATGAAAAGGACGTAAATCTGCACGTTTGCAACCCAGCGCCGCCATTTTGTTTTCACAAGAGACAACAGTGATCAGTTCTAACGCAATGGTAAAAGTTCCAGCAAAGCATGAAACTGTTCTGTTCTGGAAAGGTGTACACTTGTGTAAATGTTCACCATGATGATGAGATGATCCGTGTAACTCCACAACAACTACACACACGTCTCCAGTCCACTAACCATTCAGAAACGTTGTTAATAAACTGTTGTTGCGAGTTGGTTAAAGGTTTGACATATCGGATAAATAGCAATTTATGCAAGTTTGTCAATATGATTTAGCAGGTCTCAGGACTGCATTTGGGCTTTTGAAAATTATTTTTTATTCAGAAATGACCATTTAGGCCATTTCAACCATTCCCCTCCACATTTGAATGAATCGTTTTTGTTATTGCATCAGGAAATAAAACTACACAAATCATATGTCAATAAATGTCAGAGGATAATATTTCTTTTTCTCATCCCAGAGACGTAGTAGCCTATATACTGCTTACATTTTCTTTCAGTGTTTATTTTTAACTATTGAGGGAGAAAATGTTGGTCTAACTCTTTTTCGTTCTTCACTTCATACATGTATATGCATACCACTTTCTTTTAAACATTTTTTATTTTTTTTTATTATTATTTATAATAATATAGCCTTGTAATGACTGTTTATATATACACGTACACACACAGACAAGCAGGCAGACAGATTTTATTTTATTAGAAATTTATTTTATTTATTTGAACACCAGTTGAAAAATGTAGACATTAATTATGCAAAAAAGTTAGTTTTGCGAAAATATCATACAACATTAGCGCAGAGGACATTTTATCATTCTAAATGCAATGGTTTTCTTTTAAACTACACTTCCCACCATTCCTAGAGGGTAACACGTTTGATGACGTTTTTCCAACATGGCGGCGGCCCACTGTAGCTGTCACACTGAAGTAACTTACACAATCTACTGTAGAATTGACTGTTTCTAAAAACTAAATATTTGCTTTTGAATGACGATTTGAATCTTTGTTCCTGTTCGACATGAAGTTTAAAGACATGGCTTCTCTGTTAAGGAATAGCGTGCGCTGATAGAGAGGATGCGTCAGTCTCTGTTTAGATCGCACGGGCTCTTTCTGCCCTTTATCAAACGCTGTCCTGAGATTAAAATATGCCGCATTAAGCGCAGATCTCAGGGCTGTGTGAGCACATGTACAGTCATCAGACACAGATGGATGAAAAGCATCAGTCCTGTCAGAGACTTCAGCTCTAATGCGTCTGAGAAGGTAAATGTGTTGCTTTGACCTGTTTTTGCCCTCAGTCGACACATATATGACGTATAAGGATGTAACGGACCGTTACACAAAATAACGGCGCGGCACTTACCGCGGTAATATTTCAATGTTTTTTGTTTTTATTAAAGTGGTTTATTATGGAAGCTTGTTCCCAACCACATAATACAACAATTTAAAAGATAATTGTGACTTGTTCCTCAGAATTGCTACTTATCACACAATTCTGACTTTATAACACGTAAATGCGACTATAGATCACGCCATTCTGACTTTTTCTCAGAATTGCGAGTTTATCGTGCAATTCCTTCTTTATAACTCATAATTGCGAGATGTAAATTCACAATTACGAGAAAAAAAGTCAGAATTGTGAGATAAAAAGTCGCAATTACCTTTTTAATTTTTATTCTGTGGTGGAATCAAGCTTACCAAACTACGTCTGTCTTTAAATAAAAACTTCTGCTGCAACACACACTTGAGATTTGAACATAGTAGCAAAATATTTTAGAGTAAGTTTCTAAAAAACTTAGACTAGTACCGAAAATGTTCACCATTATGCCCCTAATAATCTGTTATGATTTTACAGTAGAATCTATGGGCGAAATGTTTTTAAAAGTTTCCGCAACTGTATGTTAAATTAGAGTTCTTTGACTGTTACAGGACAGTTTCGACATGTCTGAGTTTCCGGTGGAGAGAATTCGCAATTTCAGCATAATCGCTCACATAGATCATGGCAAGAGCACTTTAGCTGACCGACTGCTGGAGATCACAGGTGATTCACTGTAACACATCCAAGACAGGAGAGACTTTCCTGTGAATTATGTAAAATTGTTTCTTTCTTTCTCGTTATTGTGTGCGCAGGTGCCATTGCAAAGACCGCGAGTAACAAGCAGGTTCTGGATAAACTGCAGGTGGAGAGAGAGAGAGGAATCACTGTTAAAGCTCAGACTGCCTCGCTCTTCTATCAGCACGACGGACAGACGTACCTGCTCAATCTCATCGACACACCTGTGAGATGACAATGATGCACAGATATCGTGTAATAGAGCTGTTTGTGGATGTAAAAGGTCTGCAAAGTCATTTTCTCCTAAAAGAAAGAAGTCTTTCTGAACTGAAACGAGTCGTCAGTAATTCAGTCTCACTTTCTACGTAGGTTTGTAACTAATTAGCATAATGCCAACCTGTGGTCTTGATTGGCTGAGCAGCGACTCTTAGCTCCGCCTTCAAACACTGTAGTTTATCTGAAGACGCTGTTTTCGTATCACTGTGATCAAGAGCTGAGATTCGGATAAGATAATGAGCGTTTGCTTTCTGACCAATCACAGCAGAGCAGCTCTCAGAGAGGCGGGGCTTAGAGAGACTGAGAGGAAAGAGCTGGAGATTATGAGAGAATAAAGTGTTTTTGATCTTGGATGAATGTGAACCTGTTGTAGGAGACTCTAAAATAACATTAGGAGCCTTTAAAATAGTATAATAGGGCACTTTAAATCTGTATAATTTTAGTGGTTCCACTATTTTTCAGGGCCATGTTGACTTCAGCTATGAAGTATCTCGCTCCATATCCGCTTGCCAAGGAGTTCTGCTCATTGTAGATGCAAATCAGGTAATACACTTTATTAATGACACTTTCATATATTTAATGATTTACAGAAGATTAAACACAATAGAAACACAGTTTTTTTTTTTTTTTACCCTATTTTAGTTTCAGAACATATGCATATACCAGGGTTATGTATATACTATTATAGAATTTATTAATATTTTTAATTAGCTTTTATTTTTATGTATATATTAGGGCTGTCAAACGATTAATCGCATCCAAAATAAAAACTTGTGTTTACATAATATATGTGGGTGCATTGTGTATAATTATTTTATATATATAAATACACACATGTGCATGTATATATTTAAAAAATATAAATAATATTATATTATATAAATATATATAAATAATATTTTTTTAAATACATGCATGTGTGTGCATTTATATATATATATATATATATATATATACAGAATAATTATGCACAGTGCACCCACATATATTATGTAAACACAAACTTTTATTTTGGATGCAATTAATTGTTTGACAGCCCTTATATAATTGGTTTAAGTTTGAGTCATTTTGGTTGTTATGTGCTTTTATTTTTTTCTAATATTTCTATTTATCTTTAATTTCAGTGTTAGTAATATTAGCATTTCAGCTTCATTGGGAACAGTAATAAATTATTTTTATTTCAACAATAACAACACTGGCACATACTCGCATATATCAGCAGAAATAAACGATCGTTACTAGAAAACTGCAGGCTTTTTTAATTGACATTAAGAGCAAAAAATAATTTTTTTCTTTCTCCAATTCAAAGGGGATTCAAGCGCAAACAGTCGCCAACTTCTACTTGGCTTTCGAGGCTCAACTAACGATCATCCCTGTGATCAACAAGGTAGAATGACTGTAAACGCGTTTCTTACACGCACGGCAGAAATGTCTTCACATCAAGTAGGAAAACCATAAATGTTGCTCCTAATAGTTTTTATTATATTTGGACCACATGATCTTTATTAATCTAAATATATTTGCATGTGCATTCATTGATTTTTTATTAATCTGAATGCTTTACGACAGTTTTATATTATGTATTATGTAGGGCTGTCAAACGATTAATCGCGATTAATCGCATCCAAAATAAAAGTTTGTGTTTATATAATATATGTGTGTGCACTGTGTATAATTATTATATATATATATATATATAAATACACACACATGCTTGTATATATTTAAGAAATATTTTCATATATAATTTATTATATTATTATTTATTATTTTATTTATTTTTTCTTAAATATACATGCATGTGTGTGTATTTATATATATACAAAATAATTATACACAGTGCATACACATATATTATGTAAACACAAACTTTTATTTTGGATGCGATTAATCGTTTGACAGACCTAGTATTATGTCATCATGTTTTATTTAATGTAAGGATCGTTAGTCATTTTCACATTGACTCAAACACCATCAAATGTCGGTTCTTTCGCCGTTTGTCATTTTAACGAGTTGTTTTAATCGTCAGATTGATTTGAAAAATGCTGATCCAGAGCGGGTGGAAAAGCAGATTGAAAAGGTTTTTGACATCCCCAGGGAAGAGTGCATCAAGGTGAGATTTCAGATGTTTGTCTTCATAACAGCACTTTAATATTTGTAGTAATCGCGGCGATCTTTCCCTGCAGATCTCGGCGAAACTCGGCACAAACGTGGATCAAGTTCTCCGAGAGGTGGTGAAGCGGATTCCTCCGTGAGTATCGGTCACGCTTCTCCACAAGAGGTCGCTGTGAGAGAGAAGATCAGCACACACTGATTATCATTGAGTGTCAGGACACATGCACACCCAAAGCCCACAATGAATCAGCGTCACATGATCCTTCAGAAATCACTCTAATATGAGGATTTGCTGCTCATGGGACATTTATGATGATCATATTTCGGCAGAAACTGTCATACATTTTATTTTTTTAGAATTCAAAGTTCATAAAAACTGAAATATGATCTTTTATTACATTATAAATGTCTTTACTGTCACTAAATTGTCCGCAAACAAAAATATAAATAATGCTAGTGTTTGTTGTAATGTTTTTATGCTGATTGAAAAATTCAGCAAAACTGTGTTGTATTTCACTAATGATAATGATAAAGCTTAATTTAGTTGTAAATGGCAGATTAGGGTCCAATTCTCACTATTAACTAAACATTTTGCCTCAATAAACTCCTTATTACTGCTTATTATAGTCCATATGTGCTTTATAAGTATTAATAAACAGCTGCATGATAATTAACAATAGTGAGAATTGAACTCTAAACTTAAAGTTTTATCAAAAATGCTTGATTTGTTTCAGAAGCACAAAATTACAGTATACATTTAGTGGCATTTTTAGTTACTATTAATCTTAAAAGCTAAAATAGTGTATCGGGAAGTGGGTGAATCAGGAAAGCTTTGGTTTATTGTGGTAAATCCTCATATGTCATGTGCTTTTCTGGAAACCTGCTCATCTTCATTCCCTACAGTGTAATTTTTGTTCGGTATGTTGTTGGGTTACACTTTATTTTAAGATGTCCTTGTTACAGTGTGATTTACAAGTACTGAGCGATATTAATTAACAACATCTACTCACTGTATAATTAG